AGCACTTGGCTACATAAAACATTATTTTCCTTGGCAAATTTTACATAGGAAGAAAAGATAAATGTAGTTAATGAATCTGAATTTAAATTATATTGTTTAACATCTATATATCTTAGTGAAAAGGTAGTGTTTTAGAAAGGTAAAGTGTTAAATTTAAATCACATGCAAGTGCTTTTGAAATATTTAAAAATCTCTATTTATTACCATTTGATATCTAATCTGACCTATACATTTGAAACACAAAAAATTTTGATAGTTTATTTCTTTGAAATTTTAGTTATTTCCAAAATAGCGTTTTGTAATTATAGTTGTGTTTGGCCTAAGGGAAATCTAAAGATTAACCATATGGTCTATTTAATTGGTCCCTTGGGTTTTACTCTTCAGAATGTGCATTAATATAAAAACAGGCAAAACACAAGAAGAGCAGGAGGCATCAGAAGATAGCTGAAAGTGTACTGCTCAGAGTCATAGAATTCAATTTTCAGTTCTATACTTAGTAAGCATATATATGTATATATATATATATAATTCCTTATTATTTTTAATAAAGACAAAAAGGATAATTCCCTCTCCCTGCCTTCATTATGATAATTGTTTTCTGAGAAAAGACAACAAAGCATGTATGTGAGAATATACATAATAATATATTATGAACATGGGAGAAATCACTATTATTATTGTTATTTGCTGAAAATTGTTAAACACACTTAAACAAGCAAATAATCCAACTAGGGAAAACATCTAAATTTCACTTATTTTTAATGAACCAAAAAAATTTGAGAAAAATTATTATTTATCCCCATATCCATATATTGAATGAGATATATGATAATGCTAAATCTGAAACTCATTTTTTGTGGAATATTTTATTCCTACTCTACAGTAATTCACCAATTAACTCTCCCTGTTCAACATCTGGACCTCATCCTAGTTCATGCTGACCTAATCACACTCTTCTCTGAGGACCTTCCTTAACTCTGCTTCATGCTTACTTCTGATTGCTCCCTTTTTCTTGGATCTACTTGAGAGTAAAAGTAATTCATCCATTTTGCCATTACCCTGCACTTTTATGAAAATCATGATGTATTCCTCATGCTTTCCTCCAGGGAAAGGAAATTCTAGAATCAAGAAAACAATGTATTTGTTTTTATTTTTATTTTTTCAGTTTTAGAGGGTATTCAGAGGGTATATGTACATGTCTGTTACATGGGTATATATTAATAATGGTGGATATTGAACTTCTAGTGTACCCTTCACTCTTACTTTTTTTTCTTTTTGGATCATCTGACTCTAACCCAGGCTGGAGGGCAGGGGTGTAATTATGGCTTACTGCAGCCTTGACTACCTTGTACATAGACTCCAATTTAGTTTGAGTGGCCAGGTCTTGGCCTCAAGAGATAGAATGGATCCATACTAATTATGGTTGTCTAGTTTCACCTGTGGTGGTGATATGGTTAAGGACTAGACATAGACATAGCCCTGTGAAAGGGACGAGAGAGAGAGGTTGACTCCTGGGATCTTTCTATTTATGTTTAATTTAGCAGAAATGGGCTCTTGCTCCAACACCTGGGCTGGGGCACACTGGTACAATCATAGCTCACTGCAGCCCAAGCAATCCTCCTACTCTGGGTTCTTATGGACCTCAATACACCAACAAGTCAATTCTTTGACTCCTAGTCACTCAATAGCTTGCTAAGTTACAATGCATGACCTTGAAATTTAGGTCAATTTTAGCCAGATTTTTCGTTTCTTACAGCTGAAGGCATCTGAAATCAGTGTTGTTCTGATCCTACACTTTCTGGCTCCCTTAGGCCCGTAAATACTCCATGGTCACCTATAAGACCTGGTAGTGTGTTTTGTTTCTCTCTGGCACAGTGATCAAAAACTTTTTGAATTATTACTGCCTTGATAGCCTGGATTCTTGACTGACTCTGATAAGCAGAACATTATCATCTAGCACGAATGGAATGTAAGTCTTTGTCACTGCAAACCACGTGTATTTTGGACTTTGTTATTGCAGTATAATCTAGCTTGACTTGATTGTTATGGGACCCTCCCACAAAAATGTTGAAATTTTGCCTCTTTTCCCTCAGAATGTTATCTAGCAAAAGGTAACTGAAGGTTAATCAGTCATAATTCAAGAATATGAAGTCATACTGGAGTAGAATGGGTCCCTAATACAATATGATTGGTGTTATAAGAAAAGGGAAATTTGGAGACAGACACACAAGGAGAATGCCATGTGATGACAGGTATATTGAACTGCTGCAAATGCAAGCACAAAACACCAAGGATGGCCAAAATACTCTACAGAAGCTAGCAGGAGGCAAGGAAGGATTCTTCCCAACAGGTTTCAGAGACAGCATGACCCTGTTGATACTTAATTTGGGACTTCTATCTCCAGAAGTGTAAGGCAATAATTTTCTGTTGTTTTAAGTAACCTGGTGTACAGTATGTTGTTAGGCCAGCCTTAGTGTAATATAATCAGATAGAGCAGGGCTGTTTTTATTGTTATTGTGTTATTTTGTTTTCACTTTTTGTAATCATGATTTTAATGTCCTGCAGAAAAGGCATAATGTTCATGGCCATTCCCACCTAGTAATTCTTTCAATAGGACTTAGGAAATATACTAACATAGAAAGTCGTTAAAGCCATTTTTTACAGAGTAATGACCAATTGGGGGTTCACATAATAGTTTTATATAATCTGGGTGACCAAAGTGATCTCTCTCTCTCTCTCTCTCTCCCCCCATATCCTCTGTATATATGTATGAATGTATATGTATGTCTATACACACATAGTTATATAAAACTACATAGACATACATAGTTACATAGTTATTTTTAGAGTCATTTCATATGAAGAAGTGGTCAAAGAAGTAGTGCAAGTTAGAAATCTCTCAGCCTGGGCTTCCCAGAAGCAAAACAGTCCAGGTTTCCTCAGCAACACATGCTAAGCATTGGCAGCAGCTCCATCCCACGCAGTGTTTGTCCTAGGACAGATTTCTTGCCTCTTTGAACTATTGTTATTAACACCCTATACCCTTGTCTCTATGGGCACTGAATTTTTTTGTAGAGACAGGGTCTCACTATGTTGTCCAAGTTGGTCTCAAACTTCTGGACTCAAGAAATCCTCCCACCTTTGCCTACCAAACTGTTTGGATTTTAGGTGTTAGCCACTGCACCTGGCTCAGCAAAATATTAAACACTGTACCCAATAGATAAATCTTCAACCCTCACCCTGTTCCCACCCTCCCTATTACGGAGTCCCTAGTGTCTATTATTTCCATCTTTATGTCTGTATATACCTATTGTTTAACTTCCCCTTACAAGTGAGAACATGTGATATTTGGTTTTCTGTTTCTGAGTTAGTTTATTTAGAATAATAACTTCCAGTTTCATCCATGTTGCTGCAAAGGACATAACTTTATTTTTTTTGCATGGGGAATAAAGTTTATTTTTGTTTCTAATTCTTAGATCTACATCCTAAAAGACTCAGTAATAGTTTATAACTAGTTGGATTTTTCTGTCAGCAAAAATAAAATAAGAAATAGTAACAAACAAGTAACAAACTAGTTAATGTTCAGATATTTGTGATCATTGACAAAGATTTCAATATTGTATCTAATAGTTACTATTTTACAGTATTTTCACACAAGACCAAGCCCTACCTAATTGGTTCTTTTTATATACCAATGAGAAAATTCAAATTTTAAGTTCAGAAACCAAAATTATTTTTAAATGTCACTTTTATTTTCTACAAATGAATATGAGATAATAATTAGATGTTGCTACACAAGATTTTGTGATTTATGTTTGGCCACTTTCTTTGTTGCCAATATTTAGGAAGCAAAGGCTTCTTCCTGCATTTCAGCTTGGCTGATTCATCTAGAATCACAGTCTGTGGATGTGGCCTTTCTCTTCCCAGGACTGACATTTCTTGACCCTTCTTTTATATTCTGATGAACAGGAGTGCTATTCAGTTATATCTTCACTGATTTGAGACCCTGAGAAATGTGGCTTCTATTGAAGACTAAAAATAATTTTTAAATAGTGAATGTTTGTAATTTATTGAGACGGAAATGAAAATGTTAGAACTTGGCAGAACCTTACATGTTTCTACTTCCTTTATTAGTTTTAATTTAGATAAATTAATTTAGTGACATTTTATAAAACTTCTACTTTCCAGATGAAGGAAAGATGTTACTTGGCAAGTGACTGAGACACCTATGACTTGAATAGAAGATTTCCTAGGGGTTTCCTAGCACAGGAGTAGCTTAAGATATTGAAGAAGTTTGGCCCAGGGAAGAAATGATTTTGCTATTGGTTAATATTTTGCAGGTTATGTATAAGAAAGACTTGATTTTTTTTTCTGAATAGCACCAAGACAGGATGAAGAAAAGAGGGAAATTGTTACCCAGATTATGTGATTTCTGTGAAATACAATAGCATCCTTTTGAAATACTGTACTTCCTTATTATGTGACATGTTCAGATCAAAAATGAAAGACCATTCTTTAGATAATATGAAGATGTTATTCTTTCATTGGATGGGATATTGGACTAGAAAGCTACTAAAAGGCCACTGAATGTTCTGTCATTCTCCAAAAAAGACTTGGCTAAACTATTTAAATTGATAAAGTAATTGCTGTAAGTGAACTCTGAGGGTGGAATGGGATTGAAGAGCACATGTGTGGGCTGAGGGAAAGAACACAGACTTTAGGATCAAATCTACCTTGCTCTGGGCAACGTTCCGTAGGTTTCACATGATGTCAGGATTTCAACATCAACAAAACTAATAATGCCCACCTTTCAATATTTGATAGTTGACAAAATTACAGCTATTAATTATAAATTAATCATGGTAATATAATTAAGTAAATCATCTTCTCAAATAAACATATGTCATTAAATGACAAAAAATAAATCAATTAGCAATACCTTCATGATCTTGCTGATTACATGAGGGTACTCTTTTTTAAAAAATTTAACATTATTTATGTTTTAAACTTCTATTTTAGATTCAGAAGTACATGTGCAGTTTGTTATATAGACAAACTCATGCCACTAGGGTTTGCTGTTAATGGCACTGTGACATCCACAACTCCCCGCCCTATTTTGGCATAGGAGTTCTATTGAAGTGGAAGAAAATGCCTTTGCTTTGTGCGTTGTGTTTATCTTCGGTACTGCTCTTTCTGTTCTCTTGTAACAACCAGTTACCTGGAAGCCATTTCAAAACAAAGCCAGACTTTAAAAGTTATACAAATTCTTCCAAATGGCACATAGGTGCATACAAATAACCCTACTCACAAACTCCAAATTTTTCCAAGTCAAAACTCACATTTTCATCTTGCATTATAGCCAAAGGTGAATGAATCAAAGAACTAATATCATTCTGGTTAATACCCATGGAATGTCAACTAAGGAACACAAACTCTGCCCAGTATGTCCCCTTGTTCAGTCTGCCTGCTTAAAAAAACTCATCTCTTTCTGTATAACTCTGCAACACTTTTCTGTTGAAAAGAATCCTTTGAAGTTTTGCTTTGACTTTGTAAGAAACAGTTTTGACCCAGGATGGGCAACATTCTTTTTTTTTTTTTGAGACGGAGTTTCGCTCTTGTTACCCAGACTGGAGTACAATGGCACGATCTCGGCTCACTGCAACCTCCGCCTCCTAGGTTCAAGCAATTCTCCTGCCTCAGCCTCCCGAGTAGCTGGGACTACAGGCATGCGCCACCATGCCCAGATAATTTTTTTTGTATTTTTAGTAGAGACGGGTTTCACCTTGTTGACCAGGATGGTCTCGATCTGTTGACCTCGTGATCCACCCATCTTGGCCTCCCAAAGTGCTGGGATTACAGGCTAAACATTCTTACCCTTAAATTTGGCATCCTACATGTCATCTCTGACGCTGATCAATCTGTTTTGGGAATCTGGTCCTGATTCATGCTGCTGTCTTTTGATAGGCAGCAGAGCTCAGATAGAACTGATGCTTCCTCAAAATGGAGGATTAAGACTATTTGGTGGTTAGGGGAATTGGTAATAGCCCTAAGTGTTATGGGTAGGGATTTGCATATATTTGAGTTTGAAAAGAAAATAAATGACCAGATCTAGAACATCTGAATTCTTGATCTGATTTCAATGGCTGAATCAGATTAAAAGCAGAAACAAAGAAAACACATTTTAGGAAAGATCATGCAACATTGTTCTAATAGAAAAATTTAACAGAAGAATTATTCTAATTATTTTGGAAAAATTTTTTACAACAGATAACCTTTTAAGAATCCTAGGAATAAATGAGGAAGGGTAAATACTTCGAAGTGGCAATACTTTGAAGTGGCAATACTAATTCTGACTTTCAGCGAATCAATAGCCTGCCTAAATATGATAGTGAATAATGTTTTTCTGAATATGAATATCAGCCTTTAAATACCTACATTGTCAAAAGCAAATCTCCTCCTCCCCAATTCCAGCAGTAAATATGAAAATTGAAATAGCTATAAATATATTGATATAGTGCTATGCGTCATATATAATGCAACCTATCAGCACAGCAAATGCATCTCCAGAAAAGAATTCCATTTCTACTAAGAACTAATTACCTTGGATACAAAATTCAATATTCTTTCTAAATGCATATGTTTGCACATGAGAAGAGTGGTTGCCATTGCATTTTGAGCTTCCATGCAAGCCTAATTTAACTCTAAAACTGGACACATATTATTTTAAAATTAAGTGGTTTCTAGAACATCTTATTGAACAAGAATTTTGCATGGGATTTTGTCCATAGTTAAATGCAGCTCTGAAAAGTGCTTGAGGAATAAGCCTCCTTTACAAAGCCCAGGCCTTTGTGCATGTCTGTCCCTAATTTACTAATCCATACATTTTTTTATGCTTAATATAGAAAAAAGCATATGGCAGATAGAATTGTAGAATTCTAAAAACATGTCGATATATGCCCAAAGAAAAAGTGCAGATAAATTTACTCTTCGTATTACTATATATGCATATATTTTAAAGTCCCAAAGTCCTTTCTGCACATCACAATCCTGTGAGATATTCAAACCTGTAAGGACCTCTTTTGAATAAATACTGAGTCTTATCTTATTAGTTATCTCTTAGGCCCACACTTTAGTTAAATGGCCTCTAAGAACTTGCTTCTATCCTGATACAAAGGGACAAAGAAAGATGAAGCTAAGGAAGAGTGGCAATAAGAAATAATATTTTCTTGTCATTATATCAAGTAGAAGCTAAGCAATTCACTGCATAGATACTTTCTCTGGGACCCACCTAAATTTCTGCCTAGCTCTCTGAGGATTCAGGTCCACCCCAGAAACAAGGATGTCCCAGACAGGTCTTTTAACCACCAGTGATTGGGGAACATAAGCCTTCAAAGTTGGAGAATCCCACAGGTATATGTTAATGTACCAAGGGAATGAAACAACTTTTGCCTCTTTGTAAAAGTCAGACCTTCACCAGTGAGTACAATGTTAGAATTTATTTTTGCAAGGGTTGGAAATAAGGAAAAAACAAAGCAAAAGTTTATGCTTTCTCTAAAGGCCAACAGACATCAGGTTCCGGCAGCTGCATTAGGAAATTCTCCAATTGTCAGACAATACTCAACACCAGGTAATACAGAGAACACCACAGAGATATTCCTCAAGTAGAGCAACCCCAAGACACATAATCATTAGATTCACCAGGGTTGAAATAAAGGAGAAAATTCTAAGGGCAACTAGAGAGAAAGGTCAGGTTACCCATAAAGGGAAGCCTGTCAGACTCACAGCAGATCTCTCAGCAGAAACCCTACAAACTAGAAGAGAGTGGGGGTCAATATTCAATATCCTCAAAGAAAAGAATTTTCAACTCAGAATCTCATATCCAGCCAAACTAAGCATCATAAATGAAGGAAAAATAACATTTTTTGCGAACAAGCAAGCACTCAGAGATTTCATCACCACTAGGCTTACTTATAGGTCTCACCTATAGAGCTTCTGAAAGAAGCACTATACACAGAAAGGAACAACCAGTTTCAGTCATCCCAAAAACTTACCAAAAGGTAAAGAGTATCTCCATAATGAAGGATCTATATCAACTAATGGGCAAAATAGTCAGCTAGCATTAAACGACAATATTAAACTCACAGACATCAATATTAATCCTAAATTTAAATGTATTAAATGCTCCAATCAAAGACACGAACAGGCAAACTGAATAAAAGCTCAAAACCCATCAGTAAGCTGTATCCAGATCCATCTCATAAGCAAGGACACACAAAGACTCAAAACAAAGAATTGGAGGAAGACTCACTAATCAAATGGAGAGCAAAAAAAAAAAAAACAAACAAAAAAAAAAACAGGATTTGTAACTTTTGTCTCTGACAAAATAGACTTTAACAGTAACAAAGACTAAAAGAAACAAGAAGGACATTACATAATGGTAAAAAGATCAATGCAACAACAGGAGTCAATGATCATAAATATATATGCACCAATATAGGAACATCCAGGTACATAAGACAAGTTCTTAATGACTTATAATGAGACTTGGACTCCTGAACAATAATAGCAGGAGACTTTGACACCACATTGTTAATATTCGATGGATCAGCGAGATAGAAAATTAACAGGGACATCTATGATTTGAACTCAGACCTGGAACAAGTAAACTCAGTGAATATTTATAGAATTCTTCACCCCAGGTCCACAGAACATACATTTTTCTCAGTATCACATTATATCTATTTTGAAAGTGACCACATAATTGGAAGTAAATCACTCTTCAGCATTTGCATAGCATTTCACAGACTTAAATGAAGTATTGGTTGGCTGGTTGTTTGTTATTTTCTTCCCTTATTCCTTCCTGTCTTCGCTGTTAAGCACAACTATCGGCATTAAAGAGGTTTTTAATACCTATTTTTAGACTGCATTCCAGCCTGGGCAATAGAGCAAGACTCCTGTTCTCTCTCCCCTTTCTCTTTCTCTTTCTCTCTTCTAAAAAAAAAAAAAAAAAAAATAGAAAATTCTCCAATTGTCTCTACAATGTGAAATCCTTGAACAAGGACTAGGGGAATTCGGAAAGTCAAATATCTCTCTCAGACCATTAATTAGGATAATATGCTAAACAAAAATCAACTTAAAATCAACTCAGGAACAAAAATAGTTTTGATTTCTTTAGGTAAGCCTTTAAAACAGTATTTTGCCTTGAGGAAGTTACATAATCACACCCACACATGTCAAACAATAAAGAAAGAAATTGCCCTTGGTAATCATTATATTTGAATCTCAGGATAGTTCACAGTTGTAAGTTGCCAGCACAGCATGTACTTTATTAAAAATTTAATATTGTTAAAGTCAATATTAAATTAAAAACCAGGGGCAATTGTCAAGCCACTTTGTGGTCCTCTTTCTTACAATTTCTCTCAGTGCCAAAGTGTTAGAAGATGATAATACCAAGAATTTCTTCATCTGTTAGTGATATTTTAGAGGCACTAAAATCAGGTACCATGTTTCAAAGTCATTTGTCAACTAGTTGTTTTGCCAATTCCCTTTGGCAGGTTTAAGAAAATGGATATGTTTCAAATACAACTGGCTTTGTATCATGGGTGAGTCTGAAGCTTGAAGTCAGGGCATCAATATATGGTTTTACCACTTTTACTTAAATCTGTATAAGATTGACCAAGTCTTTGAGTCTACTTTTTACTTTGTCAAATAGATAATAGTAGCTCCTTACATGGATTATTCTGTGTACCAAATTCATTAATGTTATGACATGGAATACTAACTGTAAATCATTATGCAAATCTTAGTTACTTTTTAGAGAAGCTTAAAAGTTTCATGTCCCACACTGCAAGAACTCTCTACTTACTATTCTCTTGTAGCATCTGTAATTCCACATCATTTATCCCCTTGGGCTGAGGTATCAAAACTTTTAATTTAAAATATAATTTTAGTGTTTTTAAGTGATAATAGCTATTTCAGTAGATTAGGACTTTTGATCTTGTAATGTTCGTTGATTATGCGTAGTTAATGGTAAAATTTGCAAAATTATCCTGTAAAAATATCATGCATGGTAAAAACGGTAACATAAGCCAAATAGAAATGAGTTGCAAACTAGAAGCTAGTCTCCAGGGGCAAAACCACAAATTTTGCCAACAATTAAATTTAAATTAAATTAAGTTAAAATTTGCCAACAATTCAAAATTAGGATAATTCTTTTTTGTTTTTGTCTGTTTCTTCGTTTTCAGAGTGCAATGGTGAGATCGTGGCTCACTGAAATCTCCAATTTCTGGGCTCAAGTGATGCTCCTACCTCAGACTCCTGAGTAGCTGAGACTATAGGTAAGTAACACCACACCCAGGTAATTGTAAAAATTTATTTCTATCTTTTAGAGCCAAAGTCTTCCTACATTGTTCAGTCTGGTCCTGAACTCCTGGCTTCAAGCAATTCTCCCATATTAGCCTCCCAAGCTGCTAGGATAATTCTTAGAGAAATGTGATGTCTAGTTTTTTTTTTTAAATAATTATATTAGAAAATGTGGAAATACTTGGCATGGTTTCCATAGATCACCATCCTTAGTTTGTTCCTGAGTAACAGGTACAAATTAGAAAGTAGATGTATACTTTCTAATTTGCCACTATCTCCAACTGTTACCTCTTTCCTTTCCATAAAAGTAAGTTATTTGTCTGGTTCCTGATTTAGAGTCTCTGAATGACAACTGAAATCTCTTAACCCAATTCAACAAAGACAAAGAAAAAAGAATAAGAAAATATGAACAAAGTCTCTAATTGACAGATTCAAATTGACCCCTGTGCACCAGATATTGACCACTATACTAATGCTTTATGTCCAAGAACATGAGATCAAGTTACCTATTAGTGGTTATGCAATCTCTCTGAAAATAGCACACTAAAGCAATATGGTAAAAGTTTTCTT